CGCGCATAACGTTTCCTTCGTCGTTACTTTGCATGTATACACGCGCGCACTGGACGAAATTCAATATATAAAAGTATAACGCCGAATCCGGAAATAAATAAATCCTGCAGAATTAATTTCGCTTCGTCACATTCTCCCCGTTTGTTTATAGTCAGTATTAATTTTTGTATATTGTGTTGTACCGTGCTGTTTGCATGTTCGACATTTTTTTATTTCTTAGAAAAGCACGCGCTAGATTCGATGGTTCCGACGTATGTTTTTCTGCGCTGAAGTCTTTTTTATTCTGCGCCCGCGTGTTACTTTAATCCCGCGGCGATCTCGATACGCTCGAAACGCCTTTCCACCATTTCACCGAATCTGACGGGCTCGGATATACCGTCGCGCATAACGCGGCCGTGCGGGCGAGTATGCAAATCCTCGCAGGAGGAAATCCTGATCCTTTCACCGCGCTACTGCGGCTTATAACCCGGTTGATCCTGATCCACACAAGCGGCCGCTTGATCACAATTACGCACTTTCAAATTTCGCACCTGGTGCGTTAAGCGATACGCCAAGTGTACAGAAAGTGTACGGAGCGCAGTTCCGTGTTATTATGTATTGAAAAGCTCGTCGGTGCCTCGCGAGCGAGGGGGCGAGTGGACGAAGAAAGCGTGTAACACGCCTGTAACATGTAACGAGTCATCGCGGCTTCAAAATTTACTCGACACGCGGCGCGCGATCTGATGATTTTCTACAAATTACGCAATTACAATCATGAGTGTCCACTAAGTCGCGCTTAGCATACTTTTTTCTCTCGTATCATTACGAGGCATGTAGTACATAACACACATAAATCAAACACATTCCATAAATAAGACCGTCGCATTTCCTCGCGAAATATCGACACAATCGGACAGCAAACATTTCAGACGTCGCACAACGCGCGAAATGACAATTAAATAAACAAATAAATAAATTAAATAACACTCAAGCGCGAGAATGTGTGTGTCGCCAGAGTGTCGTCGTACGTGTCTCCTTGATCCACTTGTCTCTTTGTTAATGAATTACCGTGCCTTCCTGCGACTTTGCAACGCGAGACGACGAGCGAAGGGCGCCGCTCCGCGGCGCGACGTCGCTCATTGCGCAGCTCTTAATTGACGGACATCAGCTACAATAGCCGATGCTACATACACCGACAATGGCTCGTCGCGTATCCCCCGTGTGCTTTCGGCTCTCTTTCCACGAGCGTGTGAGAACGCACCTCCGTCATCTCACGAATACAATAGGGCGTCCTTGTTGTTCTCCGCACCTTGGCGTGGCGCTCGGTGCGCGAGCGCAGGAGCGAATCGATGACGATGCCGCTCTCGACGAGGACGGTCTCGAGTCGAACAACAGCGTGTTGCGATTCAGCGCAGGTTATGAGCGTGACCGTTAGTCAATCAGAGAGGCTCAACCGTCGGCTACCTGGCAGGCCTCGGCCGCCGGATCACACTCGGTGACCCACCGAAAAGCGCGCGCGTGCGACCGGGTTGAGCGTCCCTGAACGCGCGCCGTGTTACGCCACGTTTGTAAAGTATGTCAATAGGAGAGCAAACAGCGCCGCGATATGCTGCTCCTCGTGTCTAACCCACTCACCAAAAGTGACGTACGGGACGCACGTGCCGCGGCGGATCTCGACGTTTTACCGCGGTTTCATGCTCCGCTCGGACAAACAACGTCAAACTGACGGCGGTTTTACTCGGGTTCAGAGTTCGAACATGACGAGCGGCGCGAGAGAGACGAGCGTGCAAATGTGAAAATATAAACGGAGTGATCGAGAGTAGGAGTTGTTCAAGTTACGAGTTACGGCTAACCCTCCCGAGAAGTACAACAGGAGAATTCGAGGAGAGTAGGAGCTTGTCGAATTTCGAGCTTTCGCACTCTAGAAAAATGCTAGATTTGGTCTCGCGTTCATCATGAATTTGTTATCCATTTGTTTATTTATTTCAATTGAAACTCGATTTCGGATTGTCCCTCTTTTTCTTGCCGAAGAAGCGAATCGAAGATCTGGACGATTGACGAGGCACCAGTCCGGGCCGCAGATCAAACACTGTCGAATCTCATCGTAATTCATTATCCTCGCTTACACAAAGTGTCGAAAGCACGTTCGAACGTGGTAGTCGCTCTACGGGGGCGGGGGGTTCATCATGTCGCGATGAACGTTCTCTCGCTCGTGAGAAACGAATTTGTCGCGATAATGAACAATTAGACGCGGCTTTCATTCGGAAAGCGCAATCAAAGCGCGCGCTTTGATTTATGCGCCGAGGAGGACCGCGCGCTGTCGCGGTGAGCTCGCCGAGAGAACCGCAACGGGTTAAAGTGCACGGAAAGAGAGAGAGAGAGAGAGAGAGAGAGAACGCACCGCTCGCGATGAAAAGTTCCCTTCTTCTTCAAGGCTCTCGCGAGGCACTCGCTCGTTCCTCAACGAGCTCGCGTAATTTCTCAGTGCCTCGCTACCGCGACCGCGAGGTTAATCCGAACGTCCACGTCCGCGTAATCGCCAGATACCGTCTTTCATGCCGGCGCAATCGTGTGACAGTTCCTTTCTATTCGCGACGCAGGGCAGAAAAGTCCCGTAATGCGACATCGTCGCACGGCCTCCGTGGTGGCTTGTCGCCTCTCGGCTCATCGACTTAGGTAATTAATACCGGTCTGGGTGGTGCAGATCGGAATGCGCCGTACAGACTGGATTCTAACGTACCGGGACGCAGGTATTCCGGCGAATACCGCCGCTCGAAAAGACAACGAATAGTTTCTCGGGGACGACGCGTTTGTCTCACGAACGCGCGGCGTTCGAAGGGGACCTTGAGAGCTCCGCGTTACGCGGGCTTTGTCACTTGCGTTTTGGAGTCGCGATCAATCATTCGTTAACATCCATTAACGTCGAGCGTCCGAGGGAAAAATCGCGCAAATAATTGTCGTAATTGTTACGTGTTACGTATATCTCGATCGGCTCGGAGTGGAGGCTTAAATCAACATGGCTAGAACGAAGTCTCCGCGGCGACGTCCGCGCGATAAGTCAAGTCCCATATCTCACCATGAGCAGCGTCCCCGATTTAAAAACGAGCTGTCCGTTAAGCCAGTGGTCCGGTCACCTCGTTCGGCCGATTAATGAATTCCCGTCGAGCTCTCATCGTCGTGTAAATTCCCACCGCGGCATTAAGCTGAATGCCGAGACGCGCCGCGCCGCGTCGCCGTTGGCATTGTCATTGTGGCGTTTCTTCATCGCGACGATTGGGAGAGGGCTCGCAATGAAGCTGAGTAGGAGAAGAAGACGACGACGACGACGACGACGACGACGACGAGGAGGAGGGCGTGGAAGAGGGTGACCTGGTTGGCCCGTTCGCCAGCGAGGAGCGAACCGTTGGCCGCGCCGGCAAAAAACTTGGGGAAAATGACCGGCGCGACTCTCGGCGACCGGTTCGCGCGAACGACTCGCGCTATCGAGAAGAGGAAATGCCGCTCCGTCCCGTTCTTGCCGCTTTTCCAAGCCGGCGAGAACTCGTTCGCTTCCCTTGCCGCCGATCATTATATGTCGCCGTGCAGCCGCCACCGTTACTGATCGCGCGCGCGTACTCAATCCGGCTGCGCGTAGTCGCGCGAACACCGCGGAGACTTGGGTGACTTGGATGCCTGGCGGGCGATGACGTGTCGCTCCGGCGCGGCTCGATGCGACTCGATGCGAGGCGACGGAGCGACCGAGCGGCCGAGAGAGCCACCTTTGACCTAGCTTCCAAGAAGACGGGCGACTCGGTTGGATCGCTGGGAGGTCGAGTTGCATCAGGTGTTAATATTTTTCTCCGTCCGTTTAAATGACGCGAATGAGTAGGACGCACGAAAGGCGTTTGCACTGAAAATAGAGTCGCACGAAGCAGCAGCAGGCGACTAACAACCTGCTTCTAGCTCGGAATTAATTAAACCCGATTAAATATATACGAGTGATCTACTTACGTTATCATATGAAACGTTTTTTTACATAAAACATATCTGGAAATTGTAGTTCCTCTCGAATAAAAATAGCCTGGGGAGGGAAGGAACAAGTCACGCGACGTTTCTTCCGCGGACAGAGCTGTGTGAAAAGTCCAGTCGGCGATTTTATAGTTCTCAGCCGATCTGCATAATTAAATAAAAATTCGTTCGCTTCTCCGAGCGCTGGCCTAAGAATGCCGACTTGGTGCAGGATACATTATCCCATGCGTGACATTGCGCTGCAGAACGGAACGTGTCCCTTCCATGCGTGCGTCAGTCGCGCGCGTTGCATATGTGCACTCCTATGTGTACGCAGGAGATGCCCGTGCACTCCTGCCGTGTGTAGTGGAGGCTATTAACCTTATCCGCGGCCATTGTCTTCGTTTCCCGATTACCAGGCAGCGTGCTGCTCACGATACGGCTAGGTTACCCATTTAATAATCGACTCGCGCGGCCAGAGCGGCCTTCGTTTCGGCGCAGCGCCGTATTACGCCCCCCTTTAGAGGCGTGCTTCAATTCGCTTCTCGCTCTCGGAGAAAAAGCCGATGTATCGAGAGCGGGAGAGAGAGCGAGAGAGAAAGAGAGAGAGAGAGAGAGAGACGATGCGGCTAAGTCGCGATTGCGACACGATCGCGAGACCCATAAGGAGCGCGACGCACTTAAATATGACGTTCCACTGAAACGGAGCGTGAACGTCGGCCTCTTGATCGACGGCTCGAGACCATTACCTGAAGGCGGCACCGATTCGTGCTGCGAGCCGGCACGCACATTCACGCACACCCGGTATATGTATACGTGAGAGGAAAGGCACTTTAACGGAGAGGACAGCGACTTCTCGGGCCGAGAGACAGACAGACAGAGAGAGACAGACAGAGAGAGAGAGAGAGAGAGAGAGAGAGAGAGAGAGAGAGAGAGGAGAGGGAGAGAGGAGAGGGAGAGAGGAGAGGGAGAGAGGAGAGGGAGAGAGGAGAGGGAGAGAAAGAAAGACGGCGCATTACTGCGCTCACCGCGCGTTCACCGTCGTGATCATTTATTTGGCAGATCCCTTATCTCAGCGCGCAAACAAATTGCCACGGTACTTTCTTCATATCGGGTAAAATGCGCGCGCGCGCGAATGTACTCGAGTCCGAGTGCGTATCGATAATACGGATAAAAGGAGCGTTGATAAAGGTTGATGAGATCCCGTCAATAGATACGCCGCGGTTATATATGCCGATACGACGGCGCTTTCTCCGTGTCTGCGTTACGGTCGGATTTTTTGAATTGATCAAATGTCACGAAGACGCGCTCTTCTCGGGTGCGCGCGGTGCGCGGAGACAATGAAGAGTTTGTCCCGGGGTTGGGGGAGCTCGGGCTCGGTTCTAATTAAGGCCGTTTGATTGTGCCGTCGTTATTTCGGGTAACGAGGCTGAGGTGAGGGCTCGACGCGACAGCGGTGTCGCGTTTTATCGTCCTTCCCAGCTATTTAGTAATAATTCATCCGAGCGTGGGTGACTCTCTCGCATCAAGGTCGTTTTCGCAACGACGACGTCGGATTTCGAAGGCTGGTTTACCTACTTCGAACTTTCATCGCGTCTCGTCGGGGGATTGGGTCGCGCGGACCCGAGAGAGGCATTACACCGGGATACTCCGGCGCTCGATGCACATTTTCGCGGCTGATAAATCGTCGCGGGATGTTGTTGACATTCGTAAAAATTGCTACGCCATTAGTGCGCTACGCACGACGTGGTGGGATATTTATTAGCTGCGTGCGACTTTAATTCGCATCGCGATGCGAAAGTAGAATTCGAGCTGTTGTGTAATTGTGTGTAAGTTTTCGAAGCTATCTCGACAAAAATTCAACTCCGGTGGGCCGGTTGGGTAACAACGATTTATACTTAACCGCCATGTAGCGTTTTTAACGACTCAGCTTTGACACTTTTATTTTAACGGTCGTTTTTTAATCGCGCACGTAGAGACATAGAAATTATACAGTCCGATTACTTGTCGGGAGAACCGCGACTCTCTATAGGTGAAAGTACTTTGTCGCAGCGCGGCGGCGCGATAAATATACGAGTGCCTTCGGTGTCGGAATACCGTATTTATAAACGATACGATATCCCACGCGTACACTCGACGTTTACGAATGCCGACGAGAGCAGGTGTCACTTTACGCGCGACGCTTGTTACCCGAATGACACTTGCAGGTACGCGCGAGGAATTCCTCCGGCCAGTTCCCGATTCGCCTGCCCAAACACGCGACGATTCGCTCGCATCGACTGGAGAACGTGACGACTTGTGTGCGACTTGTCGTCTCTTTAGCTGAGCGGCAGTTGATCCATAGCCAGCTAACTGGGTCGTGGAAAACGCGAATCGCCGATACGAGGATACGAAAGGAGGCGGCTGGATCGCTCGATTTACCAGGGAGAACCTCGCGAGTAGTTTTACTTTCTCACGCGAGGAAAATCGCGAAATGTAAATCGCGCCGGATCTCGAGCGTAAAGGCCTATTTAAACGGCCCGATTTTTTATACGTTGCACAGTTAGGACGTTGCACGTTCCACAAATTCGTAACTTTCGCCGAAATTCATTCGTTTACGCCATTCGCGACGCCTTTTTGGTGTCGCTGCTGTTGACGAGAATGACCGACCGTTACGATTGACATTTCGGCGAATGAACGCTATCTTTATTTCTACTATACTCCTCGCTAAGTCAATCTCCAATGCAAAAGCTATTTTTTACCGTGGAATTCCGTGGCATCTACCGACTCGTCTATCTTTTGCGATCTTTTTCAAATCAATCTCGTTTTATGTCCTATCGCGTTTTATACTCCGTCTGAGCTAATGGTGACCGATTTGCTCTCTCGAGTGTTCTCGCACCGGCGATCGCGTGCCGGCCGCGTTCTCGTGCATTACGAGTCGCGCGACATCGGTATCGACGGCATTCCGTGCATTCGTGCATATCAGGGCTGGGAGCAGACGAGAGAGGTATCGTGCGCAGGTATCCAAAAAGTGATTGGATTCCGCAGTAATTTGCATGGTGTTTGCATGGCATTAATATGAATGCACGCACGTACGCGCAGCACCTTCGTTCTCGGCGGCATGAACCGCCGTGGCAGCGGAGCCGAGCCGAGCGGACAAAGTGTTGACTTTTTAGAAATCCGACTATACCCTTGCATAATTTCACGGATTGTCGATTACTAAGAATTCATAAGGAGAACCTCTCGCGAGCAGCTCGCATGTCGCTTTTTCTCATTTATCTCGTATAATCGCTTAACGGTAACAACTTGTATGTTTTCTCCACGACTGCACGACTGTTGAATTTTTGTGCATACATTACGATAATATAACCATGTATTATATCACGAAAGTAGAATGTCAAAACTGAGAGAGGCTCTTTCCGATGTAAAATCGCAACTTGAAGAGAGATTACACTTACGCTGCCTGATTCCAATCCTCGTCTGTCTCTTCCAACTGCGAATTCGCGTCGAAGAGCCCCTCTCATTTTTCTTCGTACAACGACGATATAGTTTAGACTCTTTAAAAACTCCCATCGCCGCATCGGACGGCTCGTTGTTTTATCACTTCGGGACTCGTGATCTTCATGTCGTACGCCAAACCGAAGAAGGCGAAGAAATGGATGAACATCGATGTGATGTTGATTCCCTTTCCAAGCCCCCCTGACCGGTAGTCCCAAGGAAACACGTGGTGATAGTTGTGCCAGCCTTCGCCAAATGTCAGCATGGCGAGGCTAAAGTTGTCGGCGGGTCTCATCGATCTTGCGGTGAAAAATGAACGCTCGTGAAAAAGATCAGCAACCGCCGCGTAGCTTCGATAGATGATCGCAAACAGTTTGCTACTCAGGCTCGCAAGTCGAGAGATGATTTTTCGGCCCGTCTGATTTACTAAAGACTAGATTCTTCATTGGTGTCGACGCCATATTAACGACGAATTCGCCCGACATTTTGTCGTAAATCTTTATCTTGCGGTAAAATGTCAGAAATATCAAATCGATCGAATTTGTCTTCACACGACTTCAATTTAGCCTCGATATGATTTCGAGCGGATTCCTCATCGACTTGTGTACCTTCAAGCACGTACTTGACGATGCGACGGATTGTCACGTACTTGTCGTATGGTCTCGTGCCCCAAACGTACGAATGAGCGAAGGAGTTCACCATCCAGGTGCTGTTGAGATTCGTGCAATATCTGGCGAAGCTGATGTGCCACGCGCACGAGAGCGTTTCGTTCCAGAACCAATAGGGTATCAAAGTCGGCAGGATAAAGCCGAAAGTCGGCATCAGCCATTTGTACCACCTGAGACGAGAAAAGAAGGTACGATACATTAGCCCGGTCGGTGGAATAACGACGAAGCTTCGATTAAAATATCGTTCACGCGAAAAGAGGCTGCCGCCCGTCGTACTTCCTCTGGAAGGCCACGAAGGGATCTTGCGCGAGGTCGGTGCAATCGATCATTTCGCCCTTCGCTTTGACCTCGGGGTGCTTACGAATTAGGAGCCAGCCGATGTGGGAGAAGAATAGTCCCCGGTTCGCGTTGTGCGGGTCCGCGTCGGTGTCGGTGTACTTGTGATGCACCCTGTGATCTCGGGCCCAGCGGTAAATCGTGTTCTAGCAAGCAAAACGCACCAAGAGTGGTCGGTACCGCAGCGTGATGTTCGCGCGGCGACGAACATGAGATTTGTGATGCGAAAGAAAATGCGTGATGTGTTACGAACGGCCTGGAAACGCGAGCTTACTTGATACGCGGCGCTCTGGAGAAGCATCAGGATAAGTCTCATCGGCCACTTCGCCTTGTAACTCCGATGGGACCACAGTCGATGAGCTCCGGCAGTAATGCCTATCATTATGAAGAGGGTACAAACGGCGTCTAAAAAAAGAAGTCGCAAACACGTGGATAATACGTGGAACGTTTTTCGATGCTCGCGCTGTGCCCTTTTTTCGACACGGAAGCATCGGAATCGTGAGATAACACGAAGAAATAAGATACGTACACCAGAGAATGGTCAGGTATTTAACGTGGAGGAACAACATCAAGTACATTCCGTAGAGGCCCGCAAGGTGGATATAGATGAAACTGAGGAGATTCTCCCAAACGATCTTCCACTTGTAATCGTTCCTTGGCTTTTCCAATTTTTCCGTCGATAGCCCGTTACTCGCAGACTTGTCGAGTCCCATTGTGAATACGTTTGAGACACGTTCGCGATATAATACTGCAAAATTGCAACCAATGACACATTTATAAAGCAGTGGTTTCCGACACAGTCAATTCTGCATATAACAATGTGTGTGATTCTTTTTCTTTCTGCAAGAAACTTGCAGGAATGCGATAATCTACTCCAACTATCATCTCACCTACGGCGTCGTTTCGCTTCTCTGTCTGCTGCGTCCTCCTCGACTCAGCGTTGTCGAGCTACTGACGATTATTCGGCTCGACGAAGTTATACGTACATCGATTATGCATTGTAAATGTATCTGTATGTTGTGTTCTCAGCGGAATGGGATAATTAACGAGTATCGTACGAGTATCTGATTGACCACGTATTTGCATTCGATATATTTAGTCGGCATTTTAATTGAAGTGACCGACGGGATAATTGTTTATTAATATTTCCGTTAAACGCGGTTAATTATTCTTGTCTGACGTGTCGGCGCAAAGTCCACCGAGAATCTTTTAGGCTTTTGTGCAGAAGAATAAGTAATCTGATGTACATCGCATTTGCATAGTGATTTTCTTTTATTCTGATCAAAAACTCGTGATATACAGGGATTCAAACTAAATTTCAAACAGGTAAAAAACAGGTAAAAAATCTCGAAAACTATGAAAGATATTAAGAAAAGCTAAAACACATGTTCCATGATTTCGAAGGGGAAAGAGAATGGCTTTCCTTCAAACATTTCAAAAAACATTAGGCGAATAAAAAAATGTTTCAGACAAAAGTTGTTAAAATTAATTAGTAGAAAAAGAAGATATAAATAAAAAATTGGGCTTTTAATTTTAAAAAATTAAATTGACCTTCAACTGAATCTTGAAAATTACCTCCAAATAAAAAACTGACAATGCCATTCTCTTTCCCCTTCGAAATCATGGAACACGTGCTTTAGCTTTTCCTAATATCTTTCATAGTTTTCGAGATCTTTTACCTGTTACGTTTGAAATTTAACACCCCGTGTGTAGCGGACGCGAAAGAAATATATGTAGGCCAATTTTTTGATGAGGACTTTATATTAAGATATAGCATAATCATGTCATATCTTAATTTATTTCTACACATCCCTCAAATTAAATAAAATGTTTCCGTTGGGCATAAAAAATCCTTCGATACTTTACTACACGTTGAACCCGCATATTTATATACATCCGTTTGGTAAAAAAACGGTTTATTGACATAAACGAGGCCTCCTCGTATGTGTCGTCTGAGTGATACGAAGACATTTGATTTAATTCGATGTAAATGAAAACAAATTAAGATAACATTGTATAGTTAATCGCGGCACTTTGCTATTCGCGCACGGTACGTGGCAGACGAAAAGGTCTGCCGCGATGATTGACGCATGTGAACCGCGCGTGCTCGTCACGGGTAACACGCAGCAAAGGTCGTTCGTTCCCCGCGCTCGAAGAGTTCAGAGTCGCGTTCTACGAGCGGCGAGAGAACACGAAGAGAGGAGACGTCTGACTTTCAGACACACGCGCGCGCGCGAGTTCTTTCACATTAGGCAGGAAACTCGTCCGTTTTCTCGCTTGACGTCGCGCGGAAAGGTAAAAGCGAAGAAAGAGCGGAATCGTGCCGGGGCGCGCCGCCGTATGATAAACGCGAGCTAAATAAGGCCCACGAATTTTTCCTCGTCATAAGGCGGTCACTCGAGCAACGCCGAGACCGCTACGCGCCGCCATATGATAAGTGCGAGCCAAATAAGGCCGTCGAATTTTCTCGTAATAAGAGGCTCGCCGCGCGCAACAAGATCGATCGCGTACGGGACGTGACCGCGTTAACCGGTCCGACCTTGACGAGATATGAATCAAGGATGGCGAACTCGCGCGGAAGAACGCGCGTTACCAAGGATTCAGGCAGGATTCGGCCGGGCTCGGCCTTGCGGCCGAGATTGGCGCGCCCTGGATTACGTTCGCCGTTTGTGTCGCAATCGCGCGTGTGTCGGCGAGAGATCCTAATTGTAATTAACGACGACAGAATATATACGTTATATAACACGGGAGGATTAATCATTAATGCGACGCGAAGAGGAATCACGGTGCTGGTTAAACTCCGCTGGCCGATATGCAGAGCACAGTCTTCGGTGAGGATTTCGCGAGCGGCAGGCACGCAAAAGTGGCACCGAAGAGGTTAATCGTCGGGTAACCTTGCCTCGCGCGTTGCTGCAACCGGTCATTAGTGAGACGGATTAGTTTCATCGGGAGGGATATTCCGCTAGCCGGCCTACACAGCCGAGAATTCATCTGCGGCGGCTGCGTTCCTCGGATGATTACTCACGCCGGCGGTGTGTATCAACGACGCGCGATAAATTGCGTTCTATTCAGTTAAAAGCCCGCGGAGACGACGCTCGTAGGCGCGCTCTCGCCCGTTTACGTTTAACAGCGACCAGAGCGGCTCGCGTGTGTAACACGAGCTACATAATGTAGCGGCTATAAACTGTACACACGGCCGAGGAGAGCGAGCGACGAGCGAGCTCGGCCGGCCGGTCTCTCGTTTGTGTCTTCGGCTCCGAGGAAAGAGACCCGAGCTGAGAAGAAGCGTTATTAACGCGTCCTAATTTTTACACTACATTCGTCGACCTCCCGCGGAGCTGATACTCCGCCGACAGAACCGTCCGGCGGTTTAAATTACCGCGCGCACTAAGGGCGAATCCAGCGTACATATCGAGAGCTGCGCATTCGCGTCGCACACTCTGCACGCTAAACGCGGCCGTCTCTGATTCTCCACCCCGGCACGCTCGTTCTTCTTGTGGAAGAGGCACAAACTCGGCCGGCCTCGTTGCGGATGCCTCGCGATGCATTATTCTCCGCGCGCGCGCGCGACGAATCATACGCGCCGCGAGAAATATCCAGCGCGTTCGAATTTAGCGCGACGGTATCGGCTGTGTTACGCAACGGTGCATTTGTTATTAATGGCGCCGCTTGGTACGACGGATGACGGATGAAAGTCGGGTTTCGAGTACACGCATTGTTAATTTTATCTCGGCTGATCCGTGTTGCGAGATAGTCACGGTCGAGCACGTGCTCGTGGACGACAGCGTTTGTCGTGCGTTTCGGTACGTTTCTTGGCTCGGGCGAGTCCTCAAAAATGGGCACGACGACGCGAGAGAACGGTTGTGGCGAAAATGGCGAAAAGCTGCACGGCCGGCCGTTTCCTGGATCATTAGGGTTATCGTGCGCTGATTGTTTTTCGATCTTCGATTGTTTCGGACACTCGAGCTGTAACACGAACGTCCGTCTTCAGCGGATCGCCTCGCGGAACCTAATCTAATCTGCCATCACCTCTTTCCCTTTTCGTCGGCATGGACTCCTTGGCTGTCAAATCGAACAGAGGAAAATCACCGGCGACACTCACTGACCTAGGATGTAAGACGAGAGTTGCCGGTTGGTCTGGTTGCCCGATATGAAAGTGATCGGGCCCGCGATAGAGCCGCAAGTGGGTCGCAGCGCGCGACGAGGCTCGGACTGGTCCCCTTGCGAGAGAGACGCCATAAAATTTCATTTCATTTTTGCGCCCTGTCGAAAGTCTATTTTGCTCGGTGCGGCTGGTCGTTGTTTTCCGTTGTGCTCGCGACCTACTTGCGCCCGGCGAGCTCTCGTTCTTTCCTCCATGTTGTTACTAGGTGCGCAACTAAGTTTCCGGGTTTCACACATGGATGGCGCTAACGACACATGTAGTCGACATACATGTCTGAAGTTGTGTTTTTTTATAGCTTGGACATCTGTTAACAATATCCAGTCGTAATACCAACACATATCGCAACGCAAAAATATTTTTTCTAACGACGAAGATGTCGAGTTTTGTGCCAAATGAACAGCATTTGCGGGAAGCTTTGCTTTTCTGCTTGAACTTGAAAAAAAGTGCAGCTGAAGCACGTCGTTTGCTTGAGGAGGCCTACGGCGAACATGCACCATCGAAAACTACCTGTGAAGATTGGTTTAAACGCTTCAGAAGTGGCGATTTCGATACTGAGGACAAGGAGCGCTCCGGAAGACCAAAAACAATCGAGGAGGCCGATCCGCAAGCGTTATTGGATGAAGATGATACGCAAACACAAGATCAACTTGCGGAGGCATTAGAACATGACTCGCCAAGGTATTCCCAAACGTTTACATGCCATGGGAAAAATTCAAAAGGAAGGAAAATGGGTGCCGCGTGAGTTGACTGAGAGACAGATGGAAAATCGAAAAGCCACTTCCGAAATTTTGCTTTTGCGGCATGAAAGAAAGAGTTTCCTGCATCCAATTGTTACTGACGATGAGAAGTGGATATATTTCGAGAATCCCAAACGCAAAAAATCGTGACTTTCACCTGGCGAAGCATCAACATCGACGGCACGGCCAAATCGCTTCGGAAAGAAGACAATGCTCTGCGTTTGGTGGGACTAGAAAGGAATCGTGTACTATGAGCTGCTGAAAGGAAGTCGGGCGAAACTGTCAATGGACATCGCTACCGAAAACAACTGATCAATTTGAACCATGCATTGCTCGAAAAACGGCCAGAATGGGACACGAGACACGAACGAGTGATATTGCAGCACGACAACGCTCCGTGTCATCGCGCACTTCCATCGTCCAGGACACCATCGAAACGCTGAAATGGGATCTGCTACCGCACCCGCCGTATTCGCCAGACCTGGCCCCTTCCGATTATCACTTGTTCCGGTCGATGGCGCATGGCTTGGCTGGGCAACACTTGGCCAATTTCGAACAAGTGCAAAATTCGTTGGATGAATGGTTTCGGTCTAAAGACGCGTCGTTTCGTCGTCGCGGTATTCATGTATTGCCAGAGAGATGGCAAAAATGTGTAGCTAGCGAGGGACGATACTTTGAATAAACCATTTTCTTGTATTTCTCTTGAAATTTTCTATTTTTCATTGATAAAAAAAAACCCGGAAACTTAATTGCGCACCTAGTAATTGCAGTTAATCGCCAATTGTATCGAGAATTGTCCCGTTAAATACCGTGCGGTGGTACTCTCGCCTTTTGGCCCCTGACTCCGACTTGTCGCGTACGAATACGGACGAGGTAATAAAATTAATAACGTATTAAGGCGAGGTGAGGTCCCGATCGATGCGCTTCACTCGAGTTGAATGCGTCTTTCGGCCGAGGAGAGGGATAATCGGCTCTGCGTCTTCCTTCTCTGTAAAAGCCACTCTTGCATTAGGCACTGAGCAAATTGTTTATTCGCCGTCCTAATAGCGAACGCCCGGCGAGATGCTAATCGTTTACATCGCGGCGTGTTTCGCGCGCGTGCTGCCGGCCCATCAGAAATGCAATCAGCGCTCGCAATTATAA